ATCGTGTGATGAAATGGATGGAAGGTGCAAAACAAGGCATTGTCGTGGCTGGTGGTCAAGGACAAGGAAATGGTCTTACACAATTGTCATATCCTGCAGGAGTCGTTGTCGATCAATTGGGCACTATGTATGTGACTGATCAAGGGAATGATCGAATCATGCGTTGGCCTAAAGGAGCCACACAAGGAAGTGTCATTGTTGGTGAAGACGGTAGTGGAGAACAATCGAACCAACTCAATGAGCCCGTCGGTTTGTCATTCGATCGACACGGAAATCTCTATGTTGTCGATTGGCGAAATCATCGAGTACAAAAAATTCAATATCGATCCAAATAAGTAAGAGTTGCTGCCATGTGTTTGTTTTCCCTAGAACGTTTAATCAAATAAACGAATGAATTTCTATGATAAGAAATAAATGTTTAATTTGATTTTGTCAGATAATTGAAGTGAATATTAGTTCAGTGAGTCTTTCTGGTTGAATAAAGATAGAACCACTCGTATATCATTTAGTACTTAGACATCGCTTTAAATCCATTTTCTCATCGTTAAGATAGAGTTTACCAGAGCATCAACTATACCTTGCATTATTCTGTTTGCATGCTAGATTGATAGAGGAAGTTAAAAAATATAATACGAAATATGTCGTTATCAAAATATTCCCTTCAAAATTTCACTTCAAAAAACCGCTGACACTTTGTGAGAAGGTGCTAGATGTCCAAAACATGGCTATAAAAGTTGCATAGATATATTTTCTAAGTGTAATGTCTGACAGACGTTAAAATAATACTGCCGGCTCAATTAGAATTGCTCTTTCGCATAGTAAAGTTATTAGATTCAATTTTCTTTGTAGAAAGTTGAAACTAAAGTAGAGTTCTCAGAGACTCTCGAAAACCAAAAGATGGGTCCAAAAGCATTTTTCAGAATTTCATTAAGAAGCAGTGCAGTCTTTTCTGCGGTCCGTCATCCTAAAATTTCAATGTTCTAATAGCTATATACGACTAATGGGTAACAGATTAAAAAACACAATATCGATTTACTGTAGTGAAGCTTACCATCAAAGGGAGCTGTTTAACAATCTCTACGATTGGAACTTGAACCAAACTAGTATTGTAGGGGCACATTCAAAATTTATTTCGATCATGTCATCTATCATCAAAAGCAGATGAGTTGTTCACTTCCAAATACAATCTATTATCGAAACATGAAAATTTCTCATTTTCGCTCATGCGGTCGCAGTGAAGCACACGGCGGCGAATCTACACCTGCCTTATTGTCTTCATCTATCGCATATGATCAACTATTGTTGATTTGATTCGAAAATTTTTATGCTGAAGTATCAATAAATGAGCTACAAATCATGTTGGTGGAAACTGTAAAAATATTTTTTGGAATCATTTTTTGATTTCTGATAAAGTCTGTGATAACTCCAGTTTAGTTTCGCACATTTTACAGAAGAATGTCGATCTTATAACATCATCATGAGAATGAGCACCTCGAATTGAGCCTGAGGTACTATTTTCACGTTAGTTAGAATTTACAATAAAGATCTGCATCTATGCAACTTTTATAGACACTTTGTGAACACATAGCACATTCTTATAAAATGACTTATCTTATCATTTAAACTCAATTACCAATAAAATAAAAATAGTGCATTTTAAAGTATTCGCAAAGCTCTACCAGATTAACTACTACTCTTTTCAAAAGGATACAGTGGCAGATCATATGGGAGCACATCATCAACAATCTGTTACTTCTCGAAAGTGATCATTCGAGCGACTTCTCTAGATATTCAAAATAAACTGTGGTTACGCCTTGTTGACTCAGGTTTTATTATTGAACATGAATCAGTTATTAATTTTGGTGACAAAATGAATTGAAATAAAACATTATTATATAGTTCCTTTATAAAAATGTTATTCTTTTTGTATCATACCATATCGTGCATGTAAATAACAAAGTAACTCATGGCATCTCTTAATTCGCATGTCAAAATATCCAAAATAGTTATGACAATCGTCATTTTCAAGATAGTTAATTATTTGTAGCATTTCATACCTAGCGACCCTTCTATACATTCAAGTAGATTCAGAATAAAATGGTTGATAGTCTCTTAACTCCTCTATCCAAAGATATATGAACCAACTTCCTCAAATTCATAGACCATAAGAAAATCGTTAAATACTAAAACTGAGAATAAAATGATCATTTTCCTCATATATCAATGCTCTTTGGACTGAATTTCCGGAAACGGGAATTTTGAAAACAGAATATTTGGGCTTTCCTATTTTTTTAGTATGCTCTATCGATCTAGCGCACAAACAAAATACTATAAAATTTGACAGATAGAGACTATACTAAGCATTCTGGTGGACTCTCTCTCAACAATGCGAACATGCATTCAAGTCGACATCCAAGCAGTAAATGATATGCAAGTGTTCTCATCTACATCCAATACTAACTACTCACTCAATCAATACTCACCTATATTATTTCATGAAATCAGACTACACATTCATTCATCATCCTTAATATCTATTCACATATTCGATTGAACGTTTCATATAAAAAACATTTCAACAACTCTTACACATTCAAATGGATATTGAATTTTTGTACTCGATGATTTCCCCGATCGACGACATAGAGATTCCCGTGTCGATCGAATGACAAACCGAAGGGTCTATTGAGTTGGTTCGATTGTTCTCCACTACCGTTTCCACCAACAATGACACTTCCTTGTGTGGCTCCTTTAGGCCAACGCATGATTCGATCATTCCATTGATCAGCCACATAGACAGTGCCCAATTGATCGACAACGACTCCTTGAGGAGATGACAATTGTGTAAGATCATTTCCTTTTCCTTGACCACCAGCCACGACAATGCCTTGTTTTGCACCTTCCATCCATTTCATCACACGATGACTTCCCCATTCAGATACGTACACTGAATGATCTCGATCGACGAATACGTATG